GAGAAGGCAAGGAGAAGAAATATCCCAGAAGTGGGGAATATGGACTCGTTAGTAGAAAGTACAGAATGACCGTGGTGGAGGCTGAGTGCAGATGAACAGAGAGGACCTGCCGCAATGGGACTAACCCAGTTACCCAGTGAGAACACTCAAGAGGATCCACTGACACACCTACATGCAACTTAAGGACGTGTGACAGGCCAGAAGCAGCCCGGAGGTGAGGCAGTGGAACTTCAAGGACCAAGTTCTATAAACACCACTGCTGACTAGGTAGGACCACATCTGTCTTAAGAGCCCAGCTGTGCAGCTGTGACCCTGTACGCTGAGATTCTGCCCTGGTTGAAACACTGACAACATCTACCTTCACAAAATGAGCCTCAAACACACAGGCACCAATCAGCTCAAGTTTAAATTAAAACAACTTTCTCACTCTCTCCTCACAATGGATGCACTCAACACTCCTACCAAATCAGTATTCCTAAAACCCTAATTTCTTATCATTTCCAGGTTTTAAATCTCCTTGACCCTATTTTGTCTGCACTGTGAGGTGTTAACAGCGTGAGTGGAAACAGGCTGTTCAAATGTGAAGCCTGGGTCCGCCACTTACGTAGTTGCATGAGCCTCAACAAGTAAATGCCCTTGTTACTTGTTCCTCAACAAGCAACTGTCCAACATTCTTCAGTTTCTCTCCAAAATGTGACTGGTACCCACATCATAGAGCAGACAGATGTTCTTATAAAGTGACTATTTGTGTAAAGAGCTTACTCAATGCACACTGGCATGGGAGTTGTAGCCTTTAAATGTTAGATATCATTATTATTACTTCCCCAGGTAAACCTCCCCCACCACACAGGCTGCTCTCCTCCATGCTTCCCACACACACAGTTCCCATCTCAGGGCCTTGGCTACTGATGTTTCCAGCCACCAACCACCACTCCTTTGCCATAGCCACCATCGAAGAGTATTTATTCAACATTTACGCGATGTATTCAAGGTGCTGGGCTGGAAATACAGGAAAAGCAAACAGTCCCAACCCCTAGAGCTCATAATCGCCTAATGAAAGACAGCAAGGCGGCCAGAGGAAGAGGCGCAGTAACGTGTTTCGGGTGCCAAGTGAAGCACTTCCTGGAGACAGTGGAGATGCTTACACAGAACCTTGCAAGCTGAATAGGGATCAGGCAGCATGCACATGGAGCAAGGGAACCTGGTCCTTCCCTCATCCTGGCATTACCACGTGTGGAGCTGAGGGGGAGGCAGCGGAGGGGAGAGGAAGGCTGGATCATGAAGTGTGTGGACTTTATTCTGTAGGTTAACAGGCAGCCACTAGATAATGACTCCTGTTTGGGTGCCAGAAAAGCTCTACCTGTGCTACATATTCTGGAAGCCATAGGTGGCTTACTGAATGCTTCAAATAGGGCTGAGACTGGGGAACTAAATGCTTTAATCTAATTAATTAATTAATTTAAGATTTATTTATTCATACAGAACTGGGATACAAGCCAGAGGTAAAGGGGCGCTGAGAGGATTCACCAGAGAGAGAAGGGAGCAGAACAGATAGATCAGCGAAGTACACTGCTGAGGGGAGCAGCCGGCAGGTCAGGAGAGGTCTGCTGTGCCATGAGGGTCACCTTCCGGGCTAGGGGTCGAACTTATACTGAAGCAACTGCAGCCAGCTTGCAGTGCTGCTTCTAACCCATTGTGCCACCAGGGAGGGCCCTAATCTAATTAATTTAAGTCTAAAAACTGACAGGCAGTTCAGTTACCAGAAAAATGTCTATGTTTGGAATAATTTTGAGTGTATAGATATACTTTTTCAACAGTAATAAATACAGATCAAATATTTCAGATGAAAATACAGTGCTCAAATTGAGATATGCTATACAAAACACACTAAATTTTGAAGACTCAGTACAAGAAAGGTAAACTATCTCAATAATAATCTTTATATTAATCATAAGCTGAAATACTTTTCATTTATCAGGTTAAAGGAAATCAAAATAGATTTCATCTGTTTCTTTTTACATTTTAATGTGGCTACTGGGAAATATAAAGTGGTATAGGTGGCTTACATTCTGTCTTTACTGGATAGCACTGATCCGATGGAAACAAGGGCAGATGAAAGGCTAGAAGCAGGAATACCAAATAAGAAATTCTTTGAGGCCCACCCTGGTGGCACATGTGGCTAAAAAGCAGCACTATGAGCCCATCTGCAGTCACTGCAGCACAAGTTCAATCCCCGGCCTGGGAGGTGATCCACAGGGCGTGGCAGACCTCTCTTGCCCCTGACACTGCTCTTCTCAGCAGTGTGTTTCAGTCAGTCTGCCTATTCTGCTCCCCACTCTGTCTCTGGTGAATCCTCTCACCCCTAGCACCTCTGGCTTATCCCTAGTTCTTGTATGCATAAATAAATAAATATTCTTTAAAAGAAATACTTTGATAAAACTCTAAATGAGACACAGGCCTGAATTATTTGAATACTATCTTCTTCAAAACTAATTTAAGATCTATTACTGCCTCCAAAAGCTTTTCCAATCATAGCCACCCTACTGAGTGGCTGTTCTCCAAACTAGTAGACACCTAATCTTCTAAAACATTCATTGTGACATGTAATCATTTAGCACCTGTCATTTCTACTTAATATTGGGATGAGTTGTTTCTCAGATTAGACTATCAGCTTCTAGGCTAAGAGCCACAATTCAGGCATCTTTAATTTTTCCACACTGCGATACATTTCCAGTAAGTTTAGTAAATGGAGGTACATGCTTCACCCTAATATGCCATTATATAGTCTGCAGACACGCACATAGTTGACTTTACCTTTCTATAGTAGAAGGTATAGGAAATTTCTTTTAACTTCAGACATCTTTGGTGTAAATGGTAAGTCAACCAAATCTCCAAGCCAGTCTTCAAAAAAAGTAGTAATATCTAGTCAATGAGCAAACATTGAAAATCTGTGCTGGTTACTAATAAGGAAAAAATATCAAGATGGCAGAGCAATCTAGGTTGTGCATAGATTTCATTAAAAACCAAACACACAAGTTACACCAATAAATCTTCATCTAAAAAAAATCAAATAATTATCTGTGCTTTCCATGGTTAGAGACAATCTCTGCAATTTAAGCATTAAGAACTTTTATTCAAAGGGAAAATACAGTTTTAACATTTTAAAAGTAACCCCTAAATCAACCTTCCCAGTAAATGACATGTTTTTCAGCTAGAGTCACATATTACTAAAAATTTACAACTCAGTATTTTCCTGTCTAAATTAAAGATGATGAAAGCTCCCTAGCTGTTGCCAGCCACTGCCTCATGAGTTCAATTCCCAGTCAGGGAGCTGGCCCACATGGCACAACAGACCTCTTCTGTTTCACCAGCTGCTTCCCACAGCAGTGTATTTCAGTAGATTCTCCTATTCTGCTCTCTATTCTGTTTCCGGTGAATCCTCTCTCACACACACAACCCCCACACACCTCTGGTCTATATTCTAGTTCTTGTATGCATAAATAAGTCTTTTTTAAAAATGAAGAAAAGACACTAGAAAAATGTTATGTATATAAATGTATTTTTTAAAGATTTATTTTATTTATGTGTGAGCAGATTCACCACAGACTGCATTGAACAGGAGGACTGACTGAAATATACTGCTGAGGGGAGCAGAGGGGAGACAGGCGAGGTCTGCTGTGATATTTGGGTCACCTCCCTGGCCAATTGAACACACGCTGTGGTGGCTGGCTGCTGATAGCTGCATAGTGCTGACACTTAACCCCTTGAGTCACCAGGAAGACCCAAGTATATAAAAGTATTTTACCTTATCATGGAGAATAAACTATTTTCCCTAAAGTACCATCAAATTTTCTAAGAACCCTTAAAACAAAACCAACACCCAAGCAAACACTGTGCTTTCATCACTACAGAAATAACGACAAGGAGATGAAAGCAAGTGGTACTTTCAGTACCACTCTCTGGCCACTTTGTGTTGATTCGACTTTTTGTTTCACATTTAAAACATAAAGCCGGTAAGTTATCAGAAATAGGTTTGACATCAGAGTCCATCTGTCTTGCACTTGCTTAATTGATAAATGCGAAGTTGATAAACAAGTGGAATGGAAGTGTCTATCTCCAAACAATGGAGCAATCAAAGATAAAATCAGGACAGCTCATAGGGAAAAATAAGGCAGTTCTAGTTCTAAGAAGAAATGGGGGAAACCTGTAAAATAGCCTGGGTAAAATCAGAGTTTAAAAGAAAGCACTCACTTCCTTTAGCACTGTGGGAAAACCGTGGTTGCTAAAAGAAAGCTGAGCAAAGTTTAGTTTGGCCGATTTCATTTTGTTTCCATTCCAACATCATCAAAACTGGGTATGACCGACTGCTTTCCTCTTCTCCCACTGCACAGTAAGAACTCCCCCACTGCATTGAGCGGTCTTCCGGAGCCAAGGCTCCCCAGCCTCACAGAGCCACACCGCCCCCGCCTCCCGGCCTGCAAACGTGCTCAGACGCCTCTGGACAAGTTGTGGTCTCTGCAGTCTGCAGGCTAGCGCTCCGAACTCAATGGACAATGGGAGCTCACTCCCGTCAACGCCAACTACAAAGCCCAGGAGGGTCATTTCCCTTTTCCTGCCTAGATGCTGTTTTCCCTACTTCGATGGGGCCTCGTGCTCCATCGGAGCCCAAGTGTGCTGTGCGCTAGGACGCGGGTTGCCCTCACCACCTGCGGAGCTGCTGAACCCCTGGGATCTCCAAGTAAGTTGTACCGCAGCGCTCAGGCCCAAAATACTGCCCTATCCTCCCCAGGGATTTGGCTGGTGAACGCGTTTCACAGTCCAGGTAGGACGCTGAGGGTATGTCTCTTGGACGTTTGGTCGTGGACTTCAAGGTGCCTACTCCACTGTCCCCTCCCCAGCCTCAACTCGTCTCCCCTCCCCCAAAAGCAAGGGAAGGGAGATCGAGGCAGGCAGCACGCGCCTCCTCCTCCTCCTCCAGTGGAACCCTCAGCGACACTCACCCTTTCACCACAAAGAAGGGGTCCTCCATGGACATGGCGTCCCGGCCCCCGGCCACTTCACCCCTGCTCCGCTCACAGGGCGCCCGCGCCCTCCTGGCCTTCCTTCGCCCACCCCCCTAGCCTCTCGCAGCCGCCTCAGCCGGGTGATCCCAGAGCAGCGGGTGCGCGCAGGCCGGGGCGCACAAGATCGCAGCTGATCCAGCTCTCTGTAGACCCCGCAGACCTAGCCCTGACTCCGGCGCCGGCCCCCGCGACGGCCTCCTCCCCCGACTCTTCCCGGCGCGTCCGGCCAGCCTGACCCCGCCCCCGGGACCCAAGGCTGCTGCCAACCAGGATCGCCGTCCGCCGAACCACTTCCGCACCCTGTGTCACGTGACTAGGGTCAGGCCCCTCCCTCTCGACGTGGGTGGGGCCTGGCGCGCCGTCGCGCGACCTAGGAGGCGGGACTCAGGGGGCGTGGGGGCGGGGCTTCCTTCACCTCCCTCGAGCTTCGGGGGTGGAGCTGCGTGTTCTGCGTGTTCTGCGGTAGGAAGCCTTTATAGGATACGCCTTGAAGCTGGTTCGCACAATTCTTTTACCTTTCCTCTACTTTTAATAGTTGATTTTCTGATACGTGATTATGACTCCGCCTCGTTCTCGACTTCAAAAAAGCGTGCTCATATACGTTATCTGACTGACAGTGGTGCGCTTCCTCCTGGCAAGGTGCAACAGGTTGTACACGCACTGTCAGAATCTCTGGGGGAAGTGGTAGTAGTCTCATTTTGTAGGTGAGGAAAGTTCAGAGGTTTCGTGGTTCCCTCTCATCATACGACCTAGACGGGGCAGAGCTACAGATACCGTGTACTGTCGACCATATTGGTGTATATTTTCTTTTGCTCTACTTATTCAAGTAACTGTGTGAGGTAAATTTCCCAGACAGCATTTGCTACTTCGCAGGAGAGCGTGTTTGCCACATATGGCAACGTCCTGTCAGCTTTAGTTCAAGAGCATTTGCAGAAGGTGATTTGGTCAGAGCAGTTAGCCAGCTTGTGGGCTAGAGCCACTGTGTAGGTTGTGGACTTTATTGCTGATAATCATTGAGCACTTGCTCTGTGTCCTGTGTGTCAGGCACTGTGCTAAATGTTATCTCAGTTACTCTCACAAGGAAGTAATGACTGTTATTATTCCCATTTGTATAAGTGAATCTGAGATTCCTGGAAGTTAAGGGACTTGCCCAGCTCTTTTCTAGAAAGAAAAGATGAAAGAGTCCTCAGAGCCAAACCCTGTTTGAACCTGTTTCTACTGCTCATTTCCTCATCTATAAAATGTGAATATTAGCTCATGGGTTATGGTGAAGGTTAAGTAAAAATACATGCAAACCCAGTGACCTGAGCGGAGAAAGAGTGAAGGCAGGGAAAGCAGTCAGGAAGCTGCTGTAGTCATCTGGCCTGAAGGGATGAGAAGTAGAGCTGGATGTAGCAGTGGTAAATGGAGAGGAAGAGTGAATCTAACTCATTTTTTCAAGTGGAAAAAAACAAAACATCCGGACCTGACAAAAGAGTGACGGGTTAGGGAGAGAGAGGTGAAAGTCACACCTCAGGCTTGTCTGAGACCCTGGAGGAGCAAGGGAGGACAGATATAAAGAAGCCATTAGAAGAAAAATGTTTCATTTGGTTATGAACATACTGAGGTAGAAAGTGAAATGGAGTCATCATTCATTCACTCAACAAACATGGAGGTTGAGGGACAGATAAAAATAATGACGAAGAGTCATACTTGGAGCCAGAATTCAAATCCTAGTCCTGCTACTTCCTGACTTGTTTCTTGGCAAGTTGTTTATTAATCTCTTAACTATCCTCAACTGTGACATGGACACTATAATGAACTCGTCCTCCCAGAGTATGATGAAGAGTAAACGAGTGGGTGTGACACAGGCTTGAATAGTACCTGGCATGAGCTGTGGTCTTACTATGTCTAGATACTGAGACCCAGAGGTGAACAAGTATGGTCCTTGACTTCAGGAAACACAGACTGGTGAAGAGACAGGCAGTTCTCCACAATAAGACAAAGGCCTGGGTTGCCATAGAAACACAGACACAAGATTTATGTTTATGTGTTTATGTGTGTTGGGATGGGAGTGGGCGTTCTAAACAGTGACTAAAAGGCAGCCAAGAGACTGCCTTTTCCTTGTTCTTTTTCCTCAGTGGGCTAGGACTGGAGAAGTTCGGGATCAGATTATTGGGGCCCTTCATTCTGATGTTACAACTGTGGACACTCCCAGGTAGAAGCTGTCAACTGAGGGAACTGTCACAGTCAGATTGGCCTTTAAGATAGATGCTGCAGTGACTAGCTGGGAGGTCAGTGTCCAACTAAGAGATGAGGGTGTACTGAGGTAGGCTCACAGCAATTAGAGTGGACAGGAGAAATACTTTTGAGGCAAGACCAGTGGACTCGGTGACTGGATAGTTCAGAATGTTAGAGAGTTGATGAAAGCAGAGTGTCCACTAAAATAATCACTGCTGTGATGACAAAAGGTTAATAAAGGTACTTTCTTTTCGGAGTCAAAAGTCAGAAATGGCCCAGGGAGTGGTCAACTGCCTCCACTCATATACCAGAGTGAAAAGTGGGCTGCTTCCAAAAGAGCACATTAATTATTCTATAACAAAGGATTTGTTTTAGAAGCAGTTATCTGAAAAATTTCTAACAACCTTAGATAAAGATAAGAGGTAGGGGGTGAATTGTATGCATTTAAGGGGTTATCTCTGTGGTCAGATGATATCTATGTGTGAGAAGTGTAAGAACTGGGTCACAAGATCCTTATCTTAATATCTTTTGTGGACTTAAGGATCTGTTCAAACATCTTATTGTTGTTTATCTTTTCAGTGGGTATGGAGGTTTGGAATTATGGTGTGTGGGGAGGCCTACAGGACATCTTCACAGCCAAACTGCTCTGTTTTAGCTGACTCTGACCTCTGCAGGTTTTTTTTTCTGTGCTCAAGACTGCTGGTTTCTGCTTATTTTTTTCCACAAGAGGGAGGAAGGCTTGCAGGGTGCTGGAGTTAGAAATGGATGGTTTTAAGTTCCAATCACTGAGGAAAAAGAACAAGGAAGAGGTTTAGATTTAGGGTGGATATTAGTGCCTGGCATATTGGTCTTCTCAAACAAACTAAACTCCTGGGGGAAAGGGAGACTAACTTAATATCTTTATCATCTCAATGCCTTGCACAGCCTCTTATCTGTTCTATGAACTTATTAATTAAATCACAAATGAGCAGTCAGAGCTTATAAGCAGAAATATATAGAGGACAGAGGCTTAGGGAATATCCATAATTAGGGGTTTGGAAAAATTATGAATAATAGAGATAGTAGAGAGTTGAGTTATGAAATGGGGGGGGGAGAGGACTGAGGGTGTCCTTTAACATGTCACCCTCCTTCACTTATCTCAAACCAAACTAGACCTTCACTTCTACTACTCTAGAGACAGTGGACATAGCTAAAATGCAAGGCGAAACAAAGGAAGCTGCTTTCTTTTTTATTTTAGTTTTACAGGTCCAGGTCCTGGATAAGCAATAACTCAAGAAGAATATTCAACAAAATGCCATCTCCTCCATCCTTCTATCTTCCTAAACACCCCCCCACCCATGAAGAATTAAAAATCCTCATGGAATAAATAGTCAAAGCAGAGTTGTCAGGGAGGAGAGTATTGACTAGAAAGGGAAATTAGGGGCAGTGGGAATAGAAATGTTCTTTATTTTATAGGAGTTTGCGCTACACAGGTGTCTGTGTTTGTCAAAATTTATCAAACTGTAACCCTTAGGTTTCTATTTGTTGGAAGAAGTTAACATCCAACTCTGAGTTTTCTGTTGAGTCCTGAGATGGCATCCAGAAGAATCGCTGGTCCCTGAATGAATATCTAAAGTTAGGAGGGTGAGTGATGGAGGGAAATTGCTAGGATCCCGTAAGATATGTTGTACTGAAATAGGAGACGCCAGGGTAAAGAATAGGGTAGAATCCAGCAGACCACAGTTTCCAGAAGGACTAGAACCAGGGTCAGAAAGGATCAGATCACATCCTATCACTTAGGTAGTTGTAAAAATGGAATTGTAGGGCCCTCCCTGGTGGCGCAGAGGCTTAAAGCACAGCACTGAGAATCTGAAGCCTCTTCCTCATGAGTTCGATCTCCGCCTGCCGCCTGCCCCGGAGGTGACCACATAGCGGCAGGTGACCACATGGCACGGCAGATCTCTCCTGACCTGCCGGCTGCTCCCCTCAGCAGTGTACTTCGTCAATCTGCCTGTCCTGCTCCCCACTCTGTCTCTGGTGAAGCCTCTCACCGCCCCTGAGCCTCTGGCCTGCACCCCAGTTCTGTATGCACAAATAAATAAATCTTAAAAAAAAAAAAAAAGGAATTGTAACAGGGTAGTCCCCAGGGAAAGATTCCCTGCCCAACCCAAGGAAGGGTGGAGCTGAGCAGGAAAAGGGGAAGCCGAGAGAAGACTAGAAAAAGGAAGGAAGGAGAAGGATAAGAGACCTGGAGAAGGCTTATTTTGCAGAGAGACCTGTGAAAAAGTTGTGCTTGCTTTTCGACCTTGGACTTCTACCAGGGTTATTTATGATAAAATACACATAATACATCGCTTACAACATTTAACCATTTTTTAAGAATAGAGTTCATTAGAGTTTAGTATATTCACATTATTGCTTAGCCAATCTCTAGAACTCTCTTCATTTGCAAAACTGAAATTATAACCATTAAACAACTATTCTCCCCTCCCCCCAGCTCTAGGCAACCACCATTCTACTTTCTGTCTCTGTGAATTTGACTACTCTCCATAGCTCATGTACATGGAATCAGACAGTATTTGTCTTTTTGTAACTGAGTTATTTCACTTAGAATAATGTTCTCAAAGTTCATTCAGGTTACAGCATGTGTCGTCATTTCCCGCATATTAAAGACTGAATTATATTCCATTGCATGTACCACATTTTGCTTTCCCTTCATCCATCAATGGATACTCAATTTGCTACCATCTTTTGATAATTATGAATGATACTGCTGTGAACATAGGTATATGGATATTTCTTTGAGTTCCTGTTTTTAATTCATCTGGCATAGCCCCAGAAGTGAAATTGTGGGCCACATGTTAATTCTTTTATTAATATTTTGAGGAATTATCAGACAGTCACAATGCACAAAGGTTTCAGTTTCTCCACATCCTTGCCAACATGTTATTCATGGTGTTTGTATGTGTCTACACATGTGTGTATGTGTGTTTAACTGAATAGTGTCGCCCTATTTAGAAATGGGTATTAAGTGGTATCTCATGGTAGTTTTGATTTGCATTCCACTAATCTACAGTGATGTGGAGCACCTTTTCTTTGGCTAGTTCTTTGCCCATTTTTAAAAAAGACATATCATATTTATTTATGCATATAAGAGCTGGTGTGCAGGCCAGAGGTGCAGGGGGTGGGTGAGAGGATCTATCAGAGGCAGAGTGGGGAACAGACAGATCTATTGAAATAACCATGTCTGCCAAACAGACATGGCAGAGGATCTACCAGAGGCAGAGTGGGGAGCAGACAGATCTATTGAAATACACTGCTGAGGGGAGCACTGGGTGAGACAGGAGAGGACTGTTGTGCCATGTGGGTCAGCTCCCTGGCAGGGGTTGAAGTCATGCTGTCTCATGTTTCAGTGACTGGCAATAGCTTGATAGCATTCAGACTTACCCCTGCACCACCAGGAAGGCCCTCTTTGCTCATTTTTAAAAGTTGATTTTTTTTTTTTTTGGTCATTGTCATTGCTACATTCACCTAGATAGTTTTTGAGACAAGTTAGTGTAACAGAGAAAAGTGTTATTTAAATGCTAGGTATTATATTCTTCATCACTATCCCAATCTTTTTTTGTTTGTTTGTTTTTGAAGTTCATGTCACTTGTTTATATATGATCACTACCCCAATCTTTCAAAACCCCTGTTATGAATGTGCCTGATCTGGGACACTCCAGGAAACATTTGCTCATGTAGAGTCCATTGATCGGGAATTGTTTACAATTCCCAGCCCCAACCCCAGAAAATACCCACACACATATCCCACACTGGGATGTTTTCTTTCCTTTCCTTTTTTATTATTAAAACCGCCAGCCTTATTTTCTACATGCTGGTTTAATAAGCAAGGCAGAATTCTAGGCGACATATATATCAAAATACTAGAAAGTAATTAAGAATTTATGGAGTGTCCATTTGGTGGTCATGAGAAATATTGTTTAAAAGTATGTAGTGACATGAATAGAAAATAGCAAGATAGAAGCTTGTATATACACCATTCATTTTAAAAATACTGTCTTTTTTACATAGGGAAAATGACATAAAATTAAATTTTGGCAGTTTTCCATAATTAAGTGTTTTCTTAGATAACCACAAATACAAAAAATAAAAATCAAGTTAAAAAACCAAGTGACCACATGAAAAAAATGCATCAAAAATCAAATAGGGCAATTTAAGAATGCATAAGTAAATGGATATTTGTATTAACAACTAAAAAATGTTATTAGAATTCAGTGAATTTTCTGGCAGAAGTGATTTTCAACCACTGTAGGAGGGCAGGTATAATCTTTACCAGTCTCTATGAATTTCTCAGTGGCCAAGAAAAGAAAAACCACAATCCCACTTGTTAAACAAGGAATAACAACAGTAATGATTGCTAACTCTTACTATATACCAGGCATTGTACTAAGTGATGTACAGTGGCTCCAGAATGTCTGATTTTAGAGTGTAACTTGGAGGGAAGACTCACTGTCTTCTTAATTTGTGGGTTTATTGACATAGCTCCGGAGGACTAACAGTGACTGTGTGTATGCGTGATATTAGTGCTGTAAACTCTCTTATACTTGTCACTTCTTGATTCCACCTCTGCTTATCTCATTGCATCTTCACAACAACTCTGTTTGGCAGACATGGTTATTACCTGGATTTTCCACTTGAGAAATCTGAGGCATAGAGAGGTGACTGATTTGTCCAAGCTCCCATAGGTAGGAAGTAGCAGTCTCATTTGAAAACAAGTTGACTGAGGACTAAACCCATGTTCTTTGCTCCCATCCACTACTGGCCATTTGTAGCAGGCCTAACTAGCCTTGTTCCAAAATGGGCAAATGAATTTTTATCTAAACACAAAATGGCTCACATCAGGCTACCTGCACACATGCAAGCACCACTTATGCATACACAGCCCTACTGAATTTTACAAAATAATCAAGAGGAAATCCCATTAAGTTGGTTAAATATATTATGTTTAAATATATTTAAAACACAATTTTAAATATGGGGGGGGAATTCCACATGGCGCGGCAGACCTCTCCTAACCCGCCCGCTGCTCCCCTCAGCAGTGTACTTCGTCACTCTGCCTGTTCTGCTCCCCACTCTGTCCCTGGCGAATCCTCTCACCCGCTGCATCTCTGGCCTGTACCCCAGTTCTGTATGAATAAATAAATAAATCTTAAAAAAAAAGTTTTAATCTTAAAAAAAGTTAAATCTTAAAAAAAAAATGTATAGCCTGGAACTTCAAGATATACAGTTGCTCAGAGCTGGGGCTTGGGCTTCCGTGGAAAATGCACAGGAATAAATAAATAAACAAACAAACAAACAAAAAAATCTTTTAAAAAAAATCCAATGACTAGTAAAATTATGCTATAAAATGTATATTAATATTGGGAGATATCTAAGTGAAAATAATTCACAAAATAGTATTAGGTTATACTTTCATGGCGAAAATACACCATGTATGTCTATAAGTTATGCTTATAGACATACATGTAAAGTTATAGCAAAATCATTGAAACTACCTATACTAAAATGATATGGGAGCTTTCTCTAAAGGTGATTTTTATCTTGCTGCTCTGTGATTTTCCTATGTATTTTTAAAAAGATTTATTTATTTTTGCATACAGGACTGGGGTACAGGCTAGAGGTGCAGGGGCAGTGAGAGGATTCACCAGAGACAGAGTGGGGAGCAGAACAGGTCAACTGAGGAAATAAACTGCTGAGGGGAGCAGCGGACAGGTCAGGAGAGGTCTGCTGCACCATGTGGGTCACCCCCAGGGCAAGGATTGAACTCATGCTGAAGTGACTTTAGCTTCTTAGTGCTGTGCTTTAACCTACTGTGCCACCAGGGAGGGCCCTTTTCCTATGTATTTTTTTATTTAAATTTTTTAAAAAGATTTATTTATTTATTCATGCAGAACTGGGGTACAGGCCAGAGATGCAGAGGGTGAGAGGATTCACCAGAGACAGAGTGGGGAGCAGAACAGGCAGATGACAAAGTACACTGCTGAGGGGAGCAATGGGCAGGTTAGGAGAGGTCTGCTGCACCATGTGGATCTCCTCCCCAGCAGGTGGGGATCGAACTCATGCGAAAGTGGCTTAAGCTTCTTAGTGCAGTGCTATACCCCACTGCACCACCATGGAGGGCCTCCTATGTATTTTAAGTCTTTTTGGATTATATTTGTAAATTTGTGGTTAGAATAAAATGAAAGGCATGGTTATCAATCTTCTAACTGTAAGTGCAGTACATTGTGGTACAGTATATATTTCTGGAACATGATGTGAACAGATAATAAAAGGAGCAAGTATTCTGTTATGGAACTCCAGTGCCAGCAAGAGACACCTGGAACTCTTAGGGTCTCTGGGAGTGACACAGGGGTGTTCCACATTTGTTAGATGAAAAATAAAGGAACTGTGAAGAAAGAAGTACAGAGACCTGAGAAGAGAAGGTGCTGAGAGGTTAAGTTCATTATTTTGTTCCTTTTTTGTTGTTGTTTGGAAAATGGAAGAGGTACAGTCTCCCATTACTGCTCTAACAAACCACCAAAAACCCAGTGGCTTGAAACAACACAAATGTTATTCCCTTATAGTTCTAGAGATCAGAATCCTAAAAGCAGATCTTGTAAGCTACATTCAAAGTTTTAGTAGGTTTACATTCATTCTGTTGTCTCTTGGGGGAAAATCTGAGCCTTCTTTTTCCAGATCTAGGGGTATTTGGATTTCTCAACTCATTGTTGACTTCCAACAATGGCATCACTCGACTTCACTTCCATTGTCACATCTCTGACTCTGGCCCTTTTGTCTTGTGATTACATTGGGCCCACCAGAGAATCCAGGATAATCAGCTCATCTTAAAACATCTTAATTTAATCATATCCACTAAGGCAGGAGGTATAGCTCAGTGGTAGAGCATTTGACTGCATATCCATTAAGGCTGTTTGCTTTGTAAGGTAACATATGCACATGTGGATATCTTTGTGTGGGGGAGGAGGAGAGAGGAGTGCATGAAACCAGTATGTACAGTTCCTTTGCCTACCAGATGCATCCTAAATAGAACCTTACCTAATACATCAACAACCTTGGAATTACATGGGATTTGCTTTTAAAATTGAATAATCTCAGCTTCAGTAAAATTGGGATTCTGCCCAAGGTCAAGTTGTTGGGATGCCCACCGAGGCCTAAGCAGCTGCTTCCCAATTTGTCCTGTTTTCTTGATGACAACAGCCATAACCTGATCCCAAGGGCTGCTAATCAAGCAAGCTTAGTGATGCCTCTCAAAGTCTTCTTTTAATTCTTTTTCTTGCCTCACTTATTCAAAAAGCACTTCTTTGAGGTTATTGTGCTGGGTGTCAGAGCATTAGGGAAGATAAGCCTAAGCTAAAGATGACAGGGCAGTGTCAGTGATACCTGCTTACCAGACACATGGACTACAGCATTGTAAAGAGCCAGTACAGGGAGTTCCAAGTCCTGGGAACTTTGTGTGCATCTTTGACATCAACCCTGAAATCAAAATGCAACGGAAAATCAAATACTTCTTTTGAGTTCGCCAAGGGGCCACATCTTAATCTTTGTGTGATTTATAGAAAATTTAAAATTGGAAGTATTTAAAACATAGGGACGTGGAAAGGAGCAGTATCTGAGACTCACAAGGGGTTAAAGTCTCTACTGAAGGCATCAGTGCTTTCATTTTGTCTCTATTCCACCTAGCAACTAATGACATAAATATTTCTCTTGTTTTCATTGGAAGAGGATTTCTTAAACCCTCAGTTACTTAGTTTACAGAAGACTGAGTGGAGTCCTACAGGTTCCTGCAGGATTAGCCAGCACCTGTCAGTATTCTGGTTAGAAGAATCCAAAAGAAAAGGACTTCAGGGTGACTGATGATGCTCTCTCTCGTCATTGTATTAATGATGAAGTACAGCGATGCCCATGAGTAACCCAGGTTCTCTTTGCTCTGAACCCAGAAGCTGAATGAAGCAGCCTAGGGGAAACTGCTTGTTTTCCTAAAACTTGTGGCTGCATAATGAAGAAGTCAGGGGTAGAAAAGTGTATTTATTAAACCCAGGAGTTGTGGGAGCAAAAGATGATCTGAAGGTTGTCTAGTTCGTGCGTGTAGGATTTTGATCTCACTTATCTGAGGAGGTGGAAGCCCTTCTATAAAGTCTCTTGTTTACCTTCTCAGTTTTCCTTCTGAGCATTGCTCCCTTTCTTTTCAGCTCACATCCTTTCTTTACTTTTGTTTCTCTTCTTTACCAGCCTACTAAAGGAGAGAGTGTAATCATGGGACTGCGGTGGGTGTTTCAGGGTTATTGACTAGTAGAGCAGATCCAGTTTTCAAGGTTTATTTCCTTTTACAGATAACACAAGCCCCACCTGTAACAAAAGATCTGAGAAGCAAAATCATGGTCCTGGACTTGATTCCTGGATGTAAGACATAGCTACTAACTGGAAGGAGCAGTTATTCATTGTGTAGGGGTCCATGGCACTGGAGAGACAGACACTTTCTGTTGCCCCAAATACTTGAGAACGCCCACAGGCTGGGAGCATCTGACTTTTTTGGCTTAGGCAACTGCTAGGGGCTGGCACTCCCAGGGTATCATGGCACGTAGTAACTAGAACTCAGTCACTCAGTCTAAGCTATCACCACAGGTGATTACTCAAGCACATGACAGGAAGTTCCTTCAAATCATCTGTGTATTAATTCCACAAATGTTTGTTGAAGACTTACTGTGTGGTGGGCACTTTAGGGATATTACAGTGAACAAGACAGACATAGTTCCTGCTCCTATAGAAATTTAATCCAGAAAAGTCCCACCATTCAACTCAGAGATGGGGAAGATGGGGGAGGGGTAGGTAAGAGAAAGATGATAGAAAGAGGAAGGAAGTGGGAGGTAAAGGATGATGTTTCTACAAGTTAAAAGCTCATATATTACCTGTATTTGATCCTCAAAGAATTTTTTAATAATATGACCACAGCCCTCCAACCATAATCTTTTATAAGACGGTCTTGCTAACCCTTGTGGTGGGCTAAGAAAATACCCCCATTTCAATTACAATTGAAATGAAAAAAAAAATGTACAAAATGATGTAAAAATAAACTATGATATATATATAAAGGAAAATATCCCCATTTCAAGATGAGGAAACCTGTTGATTCAGCTCACATGATGAGCTGATTCCAACATAGACACAGGTCTTATAGCTCAGTTCAGCTCAGTCCACACCATCATAGCAGCTTTGAATGTGGACACTGGACACTTTGATGACTGGTAGGATGGGAAAGAAAATGAGTCAGCTATAAATATAAGGAGGATTCCTTTGTGCTGGTTATTCTCTGTTTGACTCCTAAGATCCCATCTTTCTCTGTCTTATCTTGTGCCTGGGAGGCTGACTGCTAAAGACTCCTCCACACAGACTCTCTTCTGTGGGCTGATTTTAATTTGGCCTCACCCAATGAGAAGTGCTGAAGGGAAGGAAATCAGGGGACAGGAAAGAGAAGTTGGGATATTTCTGTCTTCCTTCTCCCCCTCTTTTTATAATGTCTTTGGTGGCAGCTGTGTCCTTCTGCAACAAAGTTTTCCCTGAAAAGCCCCTTCATCATGGTTCTAGTCCCACCAGGTCTTGCTAACACTATTTGCTACTTTTATCTCTGCAACTCTAGGGGTCATAACAGCTTCCTGTGACTGCTAGCTTCTGGGTGCCTTATCATCCCTCCTGTTCCCTTAACTTTGTCCTTACCTCTGTGAGGAGTCTTAAGATTTCTTTATGTGACCCATCTAAAGGGAAGACTGTTTCCTGCCAGAATACTGACTTTCTTGAATATGGAGGAATACTGAAAGAGAAGGAAGATCGGGTTTTTGGAAAAAGACTTGGTCTACTTGATATTTGTGTCTGTAACGCTGGCCCTGAGCAGGAGCTTCTAGACTTGGCAACAGAAAGCAGGAAAGAGATACCAGAGTCTTTGGGATTATAATTCCAGGAAATGTCAAGATAACTCCAGCGCGTTGCTTTCATTGACTCTATCTATATAGCCTTTCAGTTGGCTGCTCCTTCTTTTGTACTTTCATAGCTCCTGTTCACCGTTCTATAGTTGATTTTTAGAAAGATCTTTCTTTTAAGGATGTCCTCATTTTTTTCTTCTTTATTTCCCAAGCCTTATCTAGTGACCATTGGGTACTTAATAAATGCTTTCTGAGTGTAATTATGTTCAGGGATAATGATCCTAGAAAGTTGAAGGTATCTGAGCCATTGAGAACATGGACAGATATAGTGACTATAGTGACTACAACAGTGGTTTCCTATAATTGCATAATTTGTATGGAAAAAGAGTGCTTCATACTTAAGAACCTACCCTGTTCTTCACTTCAGCCTGTGTGAAACTGTGGTCTGGTGATGTCACCTAGGACAAAGGCAGTTTGATCTCTTTTGCATAGTTATATGTGGTCTGTATGTTAAATTTTGAAATAACATCAGCTTCTTGATATTACTCATAATTTCATAGATGTATCATTCCATTATCTCAATATGCTTCATGAATAATGGAACCTTCCACAGGCAAAGACTGGCTAAGTCCCCTAAATTGCCAACCAGGCTAATGTCAAGACATACTTGCAGATTATCTTATTAAAAATGACCTTGAGTTCAAAGAGTTAACCTAAGAAAAATATGGGTATTGGTGATAGACTTTCTGAGACTTCAGCCTGTTTCCATGGAGCTGTTGTCAGGTGCATGTAGTAGAAATTCTTCAAGGCAATGTTTCATTCCCCTGAGGCCCTCTTCTTCTTTGTTGACATTAAATTTATCGAAATCTGAAAAATTAAGCTTATTTGTAGATTTTCTTCTGATTAGTTGGAATATCTTTTTATTCTCACTAAAATGCCTTGACCTCAATCTTTTTACCCCAGAGGATTGCCAGGAAACAGAGGGAGGAAACCAAGGTTAACAATCAAACACATAACTCTAATGTTTGTTTTGTGAAATTCAAATTGAGATAGATGACAAAGGACATTCTTTCTGATGTCCAAATTTATATTTATTATGGAAACCCTTTCAAGAAAATATATATCATATCACATTTTGTTATAAAATCAATGAATCATTTAACAAGAATAAAATTCATTAAATTGGAATTCTTCTGGGAAAAATGAGCCATATGGTCATTATTGTGTACAGAGAGGACTGAGGAAAACCATTCAGAGTGCATTCATTCATTCTGCAGAGCTCTGCATGGTCTGACAGTGTTCTCCATGCTATTCCTCAAACACATGACATCGTGATTTCCTAAGGACTTGGGCTTACTCTTCTTGTTCTTCTCCCATAGCTTGCTTCCTCACAACATGCACATCTTTTCTCAGATACCAGCAGGCCAGATAGCTCTTTCCTGGGCCTTATGTCTAAAAGATCAGCCCTCTTTACACTCCTTTCTCTATTATATTTTGCTTCACAACCATTATCACCACCTGATCTTGTAGTATATACTCATCTATCCAGTTTCCCTTCTAGAAATTAGCATTGAGGGCCCCAACTTTGAGATGCTCATAGTCAATCCTTAGAAAAAATAAAACTTAGATGAAAGGAGATGTTAGTAACCTTCCAAAGGATCGCCTTAAAAGAGAAGCTAATAAGTCAGGCTGTCACATTCAGTACTTTCAGGCCCCTCAATAAGTTCCTATAGCTAGGTAGATTGTTAGAATATAGACTAGTGTTTCTTACTTTCTTCAAAGCCAGCCACATCACTATGTGGTTTGAGAAGTGTCCAGAGATTCTCTTAACTCAAATTATCACCATCCACTTTTTCCCCTCATTCCCATAATGTCTAACATTCAAAGAGTAGTTTCCAAGAATTACAACAATTTTGACTGTATTAAGGTATTGATTGAGTTACTTAGGAGGGCCAACAAATAATTGGAGCTGTTGATCTGGATATCTAATCAGGACCCATAGTCACTAGTAGGAAGGCCTGGAGCTTGGGCCCCATGCACTAGGAAATCAGGTCAGTGAGTCATCCTGACACTAGAGGGCAGGAGAAAGCAATGGTATCAGCATTGAGGTGCCTGGAAACAGCTGGTGTGAGGAAGTTTCACCGTCCAGGACCAATGGGTGGTCTAACGCAGATGGGCATCCCAAATGAGAGCCTAGAAGAGTGATTCTAGGCTCCTCCATTTACAGGTTCTAAGGACGAACGTGGGCAATTTTCTTCATCTCTCTGCATCTATGAAATGCAGATTTCAAAGAGTTACTATGAAGCATAAGTAAAACACATGCTTCTTAGTTTTAGCATGGTACCTAACACATAGTATGTGTCATGAAAAAATGCCCTCCTTATGGTGATTTAAGTGTTTCACAGGTCATTGAAGGACCAACTTCATGGAAGGTTTGCCGCCTCCTCCTTTTCAGAACCTTTAATGAGAGCAGGATCTCTTCACTGAGCTGCTGGATTACTCTATTGGCATATCTTTTGTGCAATTACTACCCACTGCCATGTGTTATTACTTTGTGTTTATTTATGCTATGCACATTATTTCTCCAATAAGACTAAGTTCCTGGAGAAAAGAGATGGTGTTTGATTTGTTTTCTCTTCCCTAACATCTCATAATTCCTTGTATGAATATTTGGTCCATTCTCAATAAATATGATTTACCCCCATGGATTATTAGTCTTCCATGGCTGAGTACATGGATAAATAGCTGATAAATAGAACGTGTATGGTAATCCACTGATGTCACAGTCTTTTGTAAAAATGGCCCAATTAGTTAATCTACAGGTTAAAGGGAACCTAGTTTGCAACAACAAAGTGAGCTTTGCATCTGATCGGAGAGCTGTTTGGTTGTTTGGTTGTGTTATTCAGACTTCCCAGCAATGCCCACCCAAGGCTCTTGGTACAGGCCGGCAGAGATTGCTGAGAAGCAGCTTAACTGGCCTGGACAGAAGACCAAGTTCAAATAGTAGATTTTAGCTCAGTCAGTGAACTCACTGACTATTCACTGACTATTGACTGATAATTCACTGCTCACTGATAATTCATTCATAGGAAGGAAACAATATTTTAGCCAGAAGAAAGAATCAGAAGATTAGATAAAATCATATGAAATTGCCATTTTTTTTTTGTGCTTCAAAAAAAGTCAAGTGTAGATTTTAAATGATTCTACCTTCATGCTTATACTAGAAATCTGGTCATCTGGGCTATATATCCTGCATATAAATTATCATATGGTCTAATGTTTTATGAGGGTATCATGGCCTTTCCCCTGTCTTTTCTGTTCTGAGTTACTGACTTAACATCTGTCAAGCAACTCCCCGTCACAACTGATGTGTTTTGGAAGTCCAACTATGTGTGGAGCAAGCATGACTTGTACCTGTGGTTACAACTTACCAGATGGGTAACTGGGCCGGGAGCAAACAAAAGGGCCAGGGCTGTGATATCCTGGAGCAGAGCCACGCCGCAGCTGCACACGGACTGGATGGGCAGATGACCGGCAGATGGAGACCAGCCTTTAGGGACAGGACAGCCTTTGAAGTCAGGGCTGGCTGGCGAGAGCTCCTTTTCCCCAGCTGGGTTAGACTGAGATTGAGATTGGAGAAAAGGACATTCCACTGTACTTGAATGGTATTGTCAATGTGTAATATTTCTCTGTCTACCTCCTATTAACTCTAGTTAATAAAGAGTTTTGTGAAGCTGTATCTTTGTAAGAAAGGGGAATTACATTAATTGTAATATTGTGTTGGGAAATGATGTTAGTGATACTTAGACTAGCTCCTCCCATGAACAGTAAGTAATACCCCAAGCTGTTGCTACATCTTTGGTTTGTTTTTTCTTATTTGCATCTACTAGGAAGGTAGTCCCTGAAGTCAGACAAGGAAGCCCAAATTCCAAAGCACGTTCTGTAGCAACCCAACTTAAGTCAGTAACACATGCTGCTTAAATTCATTCTTCTATCTCTCCCAGTCTCTGCCTGGAATTTGATTTTTGTGAGGCTTTTTCCTATAAATAGCTATCAAGGTAATTCCTACCTGTTTCTTTTCCCCTTACTTTCTCAGCTCCAGCCACAAGCCTTCTTGCTGCTCCTGAAACTTACAGATATGTCCTTTCCTCAGAGCCTTCTCTGAACTGCTGCCCTCCACTTTCTGCCTGGCTCCCCTACTCCATGAAGACCCTTGCTCAGAAGTCACCTTCCCTAATTATTGTTGCTTAAAATATGTTACCTAGGGCCCTCCCTGGTGGCACAGCAGGTTAAAGCACAGCACTAAGAAGCTAAAGCCACCTCAGCATGAGTTCGATCCCTGCCCCAGAGGTGATCAACAAGGCACTGCACACCTCTCCTGACCCGCCCGCTGCTCCCCTCAGTAGTGTACTTCATCAGTTGGCCTGTTCTGCTCCCCACTCTGTCTCTTGTGAATCCTCTCACTGCCCCTGCACCTCTGCCCTGTACCCCAGTTCTGTATGCACAAATAAATAAATCTTTTTTTAAAAAATACTTATTCCCCTTTGCACCTTCACTTTCCTCCACTTTACTTTTTAAAAACATGTTCTGTATCTTGTTTACTTTGTGCTCTGTGTCTTCCTCTCCTCTCTCCATTAGAATGTCTGTTCCATAAGAGCTGACATTTTTATCTCTTTAGTTTGCTGTGTCCTCAGGTTCTGGAACAATGCCTGGGAACAGAGAAGGCGCTCACATCTTTGCTGAATACTCAGACTAAGAAAATGTGAGAAGTAATGCTCCCCATTTGTTCTCCCTCTGCCTCCATCTTTAAATAGTTGCCTATCTGCAGTGCAGCCACAAAATCTTTCCAGATGTAGAGAAACAGAACTGTTTCAAAATCGGTTGCAGACTCAAACCTATACACCTTTTGCAGACTCCAGACTGAATGTAAATTAGATTTCAGCTCTGTTTCCCATCGACCAGCCTCCCCTTTATGACAAGTATTTTTAAAGCCCAAGTTCCAAGTTAAATAGACTTTCAGTCATCTCAGCATATTTCATTATTTCAAAGCAAAGAAGTGTTTTGCCAACAATTTAATTCACCAAATATTTACCAAGCTCTTACTATGTGCTTTATTCCCTGTGCTGGGTCTTGCAGGAAACAAAGGCAAAAAGCTAAGACTCTGTTCTTAAGTGCCTTAGAATTGAGAATCCATAGAAGGTAAGTAAAAATAAATAGAACAGAAGGCAGAATGTGGTAACTATTGGTTTCGGGCTGTAATATGTGTCTCTGCTTCAATCCCTGGCTCTTGTTTTCATAAGAACCTATGCTTTTATGATGAGAGAATTTAGTCCAGCCTCTGAAGCTTCCACTGGATTGCCTCTCAACCCAGCCCCCCACTCTCCATGGGAAGGAAAGGGGGAGACAAAAAGACAAGCAATGCAGCAAGGCATTGTGCTCTGCTTGGGCGGGAGACCTGGCTCCATCTTGCTTAGTGCTGAAGCACACATGTAGAATACAACCTCCAAGCAGGAACTCATGAAGCTGGGGGGGGTGGGGGGGCGGGGGGTGTGCGTAGAGCAGGGGTATGCTACTCCAAACCCTGATTTTCTGAGCAGGGAGAAAGTGGGGGGATTTCCCCGTTCTGCTGTTAGAGATCTAATGCAATCAGGTGCCAGGCACCCAACCGGCCTGGGTCAGGGAATCCTGTCTCCCCTAGTATTTAATGTAAGGATACCCAGCCTGGCTTTGGAATGTTCAGTTCTAAAAGTAGATTGATTGCCTGTGTGTTATGAATTCTTTCAGAAGCAGTTTTAGAAAAACAAAAAGTAAAATACATATGTATAAGTGAAGAGGGAGGCACAAATATTAGTTGGGATTCAATACGGGGAAGAGGAACCTGACGCCTATCCAGGGTTCTCTGCCATCATGGGGACCACCTGGGAAGATCCAAGTGTTGGGGGACATCACAAAGGGAACAGCAGATTGGGCAGGGCAAGACTTTGGGGAAGTAATGGCAAGTACAGCCCTTACACACAGGCAAGAGAGGCCCCGGCATGTGGACTTGACCCCACAATTGAGAGAGGTGAGCTCTGATTCTGACCTTTCCAAATCTTCCCCACATCCCAGAATGAGGAGCTCATGAGGCTGTAGGGAGGACTCAGCCTGTGTCTATCCCACACTCCAGCTATCCCTAACCCTAGAGTTTGCTGTCTGGTGACTCAGAGCTGCTTTGTTTGGACTATGCTGCTGGACCCGAGAGATGGCTAAGAGCCAGTGTTTATGGGTGAAGCCTGAATCAAAGAGCAGGTGTGTGAGCACAAGGCCATTGGTTAGGATGGATGGAGCAGGATGGGCAGAGAAGGAGGTAGAACTCAGGCTAGGGGCTGGAGGATGGAAGCCCTTTTTCTCTCACCACATTCAGGTTCAGACTTTTGTAAGCACCAAGATCTGTACATTGGAACTTAGCCTGTGAGGTCAGATGAAGGGATATTTGCCACGTCAGAGGGTAGAACATATTTAATGGTTTGGTAACTTGATCTATTCCTTGTAGATATCTGGAGCTCTGGTATGTGGGTGTCCTTGGTCCTCTTTATTCGGCCATCCAAATGTCAGGGCTGGCCCTGGGAATATCTTTAGAGATGGATTTTGATGACTGAGAAGGAGCTAATTAGATGAGCTAGGGAGGCAGGCAGCAGTAAGACAAAAGCCTCAGAGAGAGGTATTTCCAGAGCACAGCAGGCAAGGAGAGGGAGAAAACCATTGTTGCTCCACACCTTCCTTAGGCAGCTCTCTGGCATGGCCTGGGGGGATCCTGGACCTTGTCAGCCTGGGCTCTGCTCACCTCTCTGGCATCAGATCTTCCCAAAGCCCACAACTGGCACTGACCACATCACATTCCTTTGAAACCACCTTGTTTGTCTCAGGCAGGCACTGAGTTTCTTAGATAAATGGTATAAAGTAGTAGAGAGGACCCAAAAAGTTTGCTTTATTTTAGCTTATTTCTGACCCTTAGTGATGATCAGTGTTCATAAGATATTTAGCCAAAAGAAGAAGTAAAGAATAAGAATATGGTTGACAGAGGTGGTTTGGTGTAATAGAAAAAAGACTATGCTTTAAAGCTTTTTTCACAGGAGAACAGAGTCCTTTTGTAGGTTCTGTCTCTGACTGGTCTTGTGTGTGTGTGTGTGTGTGAGAGAGAGAGAGAGAGAGAGAAAGTGTGCACACAGGTAGATAGGGACCCTCATTTGTGCACCCAGAGCCAAACAAGGCTTGTGCCATCATATTGGGGCCTTAGACTCCCTCAGGGACAGTCCCTGGGGGTGCCCAGTGAGGGATCTGAGCCTTTCCCCTTGAAGACCAAAGCAGAACTCTTAATCACTTACAAGTTTATATTATGTTCAGAATTTCATCCTGAAATTTCCAAGCCTGAGCAAGTAGCTAACCTCTTGGGCTGGAGCTCTAAAGTCCTTGTGAGGTCCCAATTCCTGGGGCTCCTTAATCTGTAAGAAGTAGTAGCAGATGGGTCCTAGGGAAATTGACACAGCTGAACCTAGAACAGTGCTGTGGGGAGTAACTGGACATGGCCGTGGATCTGGGTCATACTGGACTCTTAATTATCTGCTCTCTCTCTCCTTCCCTCCAAGAACTGACTCACTGAGATATTTTCGCCTAGGCAAAGGATACCTGAATTTATTTCAGTTGGGTATGTGGACTCCCACCCAATGACCACCTATGACAGCGTCTCTCAGCAGAAGGAACCAAAGGCCCCGTGGATGGAAGAGAACCTGGCACCTGATCACTGGGAACGATACACTCAGCTGCTGCGGGGCTGGCAGCAGGATTTCCTGGTGCAGCTGAAGCAACTGCATAGCCACTACAATCACTCAGGTGATGCCTGCTTTCTTACCAGCCCTCACCCCAGCAGGCAGCAAGGTCCCCAGGGTGACAGGGAATGCAAGCAGTTGCTGACTTGCACTCTCTGTGGCTTTTGGCAAAGCCTGGACAGTGTGGTTGATGGGGTTCAGATGTTATCTGCCCTATACATCTTCCAAATTGCCCATCTCTCCCAGAATCCCTTTGTCCTCTGCCCCCCTCCCCCATCCCTAGCTCATCCTCTTCCAGACTTCTGATTAGTTCCTTTACCTTCATAATTATAATTTTGGCCACCTAGTGTCTCATTTCCTGATAGCTAGACTTAGAGAGCTGCGTGCTCACATGTAATAACTACGTGAGTCTTCAAGGCTGTTTCTTCCTCCTATATGATTCTCCCTCTTCCACTGCACTCACAATATCCATAAAGTTGATCAATGAATCAGTCCTATTATGGGATCACTCCCCAAGACAGGCAGTATCATGTTTGTTTGGCATAAAGTTAGTACTCCATCATATCTGTTGGTTGATGGGTCACATCACAGGAACCTCATGGAGGCTTGGGGATGCCTGGCAGGTCTGCCAGTGATGAGGTTTAAGGCAGAGGATACGTCCAGCTCCCAATCACATCACTTAGGCACCCACTCCCATGTCCCTGTATAAATACTCTTCCTGGTCTGCCCGTGTTTTGCAGGGACTCACACTTATCAGAGAATGATTGGCTGTGAGTTACTTGAGGATGGAAGCACCACGGGGTTTCTTCAGTATGCCTATGATGGACAGGACTTCATTGTCTTCAGTAAAGACACCCTTTCCTGGGTGGCTTTAGATAATAGTAGCTCAGATCATCAAGAGAGCATGGGAGGCCAACCAGCATGAATTACAATATCAAAAGAATTGGTTGGAAAAAGAATGTATTGGCTGGTTAAAGAGATTCCTGAAGTATGGGAAAGAAACCCTACAAAGGACAGACCACCTTGTCCCTGAATCCTCAGAGTTTAGTTTTATATACAACTGCCTCTAAACTAGGTTACATTCATTCTGTTCTAAAGTCTTTCTTGTTAGTTGAACTGTTATGCTCTACAATTGCCCATGAAATCTTTCCCCAGTTACTTTATTTTTAAAGATTTATTTATGTATTCATACAGAACTGGGGTACAGGCCAGAGATGCGGAGGGTGAGAGGATTCACCAGAGACAGAGTGGGGAGCAGAACAGGCAGATGGACAAAGTACACTGCTGAGGGGAGCAGCAGGAGGTCCAGGAGAGGTCTGCCATGCCATGTGGATCTCCTCCGGGGCATTCGGGGATCGAACTCATGAGGAAGTGGCTTAAGCTTCTTAGTGCAGTGCTTTAACCCGCTGCGCCACCAGGGAGGGCCACCAGTTACTTTTTATTTATCATAAATGGACAAGTTGTAGTTGTCACAGCCAGAGTCCCTCTATGGTAGGAGTTTCTATAGCCCTCTTGAGAGTATCACCATGTCCTGATCTATTACATATGTCTGTGTCTCATGACATCACTGTCTTAGGCTATTTCAACAGCTGTGACAAAATAAACAGACTGGATAGTTCATTAATAACAGAAGTTTACTCCTTATAGTTCTGGGGGCTGTAAGTCCAGGATCAGGGGACCAGCATGGTTGGATGAGGGCCCTTTCCCTTCCCAGGTCACAGACAGCTCACTTCTTGCTGCTTCCTCATATGCACAAAGATCTAGAGAGGTCTCTGAAGCTTCTTCTTTTTTTTTACTCTACATATTCTGTCATTTATTTATTTTTTTGATAATATAATAGTTCATTTTTACATCATTTTGTACATTTTTTATCTGAATTGTAATCCCCATGGGTTTCCCATCACCAAGTCATCCATGTGCCATCACCATAGTCCAGCGCACTTCCCTCCCCCCACTGTTTTTGATCCCATTCCCCGCTCCACCCCCATAAAATGTCTCTGGTCTATAGCTGTTCGTTATTATTTTTTTCTCGCATGGTCCATTATACTCCTGCTATGAGCAAAACCATACGGAATTTTTCTTTTTCTTTCTGGCTTATTTCACTAAGCATGATCTTTCCCAGCTCCATCCATGTTGCTGCAAAAGACACGTGGTTTTTTTTTGGTTGCTGAGTAATATTCCATTGTATATATGTACCAGTCATCTACTTTTGGGCATTTGGGCTGCTTCCATGTCTTTCCAATTGTAAATAAAGCAGCAATAAACATGGGGGTGCTGGTATCTTTTTGAATCAGCATTTTTGTGTCTTTTGGGTAGATACCTAGGAGTGGGATTGCTGAGTCATATGGAAGCTCCATGTTTAGCAGTTTGAGAAACCTCCAGTTTTCCATAGTGGTTGTACTAGTTTGCATTCCCACCAGCAGTGCAGGAGAATTCCTTTTTCTCCACATCCTCACCAACATTTGTTGTTGCTAGTTGGTTTAAGATGTGCCATTCTCACTGGGGTAAGGTGGTATCTCATTGTGGTTTTAATTTGCATCTCCCTTATTACAAGTGATGTTGAACATTTTTCATATGTTTGTTGGCATCTGCATTTCCTCTTTGGAGAAGTGTCTTTTTAGCTCTTCTGCCCATTTTTTGATGGGGTTGTTTATTTTTGTTGAGTTTCATCAGTTCTCCATATATCTTTGTGGTCAATCCTTTGTTGCTAGTTTTGTGTGAGAAATTTTTTTCCCAGTCAGTGGGCTGTCTGTTTTTTGTAATGTCTCTTTTGCTGTACAGAGGCTCTTTAACTTGAGGTAGTCCCATCTATTTATCCTTGCCTTCACTATCATTGCATTGGGTGCTCTATCTTTAAAGATGCAGCTGAAGTGTATGCCATGTAGTGTTTGGCCCATCTTCGTGAAGCTTCTTTTATAAGCCACTGATTCCATTCATGAAAGTTGCACCCTCATGACTTTGGCATCTTCCAGAGGTACCACTGACTAGTAGCATCTCCTTTGGGGGGTGGGATTTCAGTCTATGAACTTGGGTGGTGGGGACACAAATACTCAGACCAATGCAGTCACCAAAGTGCCAACTCTATTAGGCAATTCAGACCAGAGCTGAGCTGAGATGGTTGTTTTATCCATTTACTCTAGCATAGAATGGAGGAAAAGGAGGTCTGAGTTCTCATCTTTTACTGGATTGTCACTTACATATTTTACAGCTCAATCTTCCTTTCCTGTGATTCCTCAAGAGTATTTTAAAGTCAACAATAGGTGACCTTGGCATATTTTTCAATACATTTGGCCCTTGAACAAGAATTTTGACTGTGTGCATCCAATTATATGCAGTTATTTTCAATACATATTATCAATGCATAAGTCATTAGACCTGTAAGTAAACATGAATTTCATTCTGACATGAGGTGGATATAGGTATTTATATTACAATACTTATAAATGTATTTTCCTTCCATTGCTTTTCTTAATAACATTTTATTTAGTGTACTTTAGTGTAAGGATACAGTAAATAATAGAAATAACATGAAATAAGTGTTAATTCACTGATTATGCTATTGATAAGGCTTCAGGTCAACAGCAGGATAATAGTAGTTCAGCTTTGGTGTAGGCAAAAGTTAAAGGTATGAAGGAGCCCTGGGACCGAAAAAGTGAGAGGACTTCTGATTTTTGACCACACAGGAATAGAATCAGTGCCCTAAGCTTTTGAGTTATTCAGAGTCAACTGTACTCAAAAAACTTTCTCATCCTTATTTCTTCTCCACATTTGTCATTCCCCCAGTACATTGCTCTAGTAGAAAGCATACAATATGTAAATTTGCTGTTGATGGGCCTAGGTTCAGGGCCATTCTTAGTTTTGATATTTCCTGCAATGACGGAAATGAATTGGGAAACATGGTGTCAAGTTCTAATACTATATGCTCAGTACATAAGCTACATCTGTTTAATTCCAGCTTTCTCTTCCTAGAGCTCCCAGTGGTCAGAGTAAATCACAAAGAGACTTTACTGGGGAACACTACTCTTTTCTGCAGAGCTCATGGCTTTTTACCCCCTAGAAATATTCATGATGTGGATGAAAAACGGGGAAGAAATTGTTCAAGAAATGGAATATGGAGATCTTCTTCCTAGTGGAGATGGGACCTATCAAATGTGGGTATCAATTGAGCTGGATCCTCAGAGCATCCATTATTCCTGCCATGTGGAACACTGTGGCCACCACCTGGTGCTTTAAGCCCACCAGGGTAAGAATGGGGCTGTGTCCACCTGCGTAGCAAAACTGAGGAAAGGGGGTGAATGGGAGACCTGGATCACTACGTTCTTTAAAATGGGTCTTTGAGGGCCCTTCCTGATGGTTCAATGGATTAGGACGCAGCATTGCAAGCTGGCCACAGCCGCTTCAGTGCGAGTTCGATCCCTGGACCTAGAGGTGACCAACATGATGTGGCAGACCTCTCCTGACCCGCCCGCTGCTCCGCTAAGCAGTGTATTTCGTCCATCTGCCTGTTTGGCTTCCCATTCTGTCTCTGGTGAATCCTCTCACTGTCCCTGCACCTCTGGCCTATATCCCAGTTCTGTATGCATAAGTAAATCTTTAAAAAAAAAAAAAAGAAAAAGAAAGAAATGGGTCTTTGAAATCAGAGGTTCACTCACATTTTTGGTCTCAGAACTGCTTTATATTTTAAAAAATTTACTATGGACTCCAAAGAGCTTTCATTTCTGAGGCCTGCCTATTACTACTTACTATATTACAAATGAAATAAAATTTTAAAAAATTTAAAACAAACACATATTCTATTAGACATTAGAGTGATGCTGTCATCATGGCAGGCAGCCTCTAGAAAATTCCACTGTTCACACTGAACACTTCATTGAAAAATTGAGATTAAACAATAAAAAAGGAGCCTCCCTGGTAGCCTAGGGTTTAAGTCTCAGCACTATCACTGCTACACCTGAGTTTGATCCCCAGCCGACCCACATGCCCTAGCAGCCTCTCCTGTCTTGCTTGCTGCTCCCCTTAGCAGTGTATTTCTGTACATCTGCCTGTTCTGCTTCTAGTGAATCCTCTTAATCCCCACACCTCTGGCCTTTTACAAACCCATTTCGTCTACACACATGCGTGTGCACGCGCACGCAATCCTTAAAATAAATAAATATATAAAAAGGGAAATCATGACTTAGATCTCATGGATTCCCTGAAAAGGTGTTGAGGCCTCATGGGACATTCAGCCCATACTTTGGAAACAGAGCTGATCCTCTGTTTTTGGTTGTTACCTTACACGGGCCTGTGAGTTGAGAGGTGACAGTAGGGGATAGGGTTCGATTGACTGATGAACTAAGAGATAAAATCATCAAAAAGTTAATGTGCACCAGAAAGAGGACTTACAGGTTTTTCCTCATTTTGCTTGCTCTCAGAATTGGAAAATCTCCCTGTGGTGGCGAAAGTTATCTTTGAGTCCACTTTCTTGGCCATCATTGCCCTGCTTGGAGTTGGTGTCCTAGTCTGGAGAAGGCATCAAAGTGAGAATATGGAGGAATCCTGGGGGGCAGACTCTCTCCTCCAACTCCAGAGAACGCATTTGCCATTTGCGCTCCATTTAGAAATGATTGACCGTCATTTGGGGATCAGAGAAGGACCTAGGAACAGCTCTCCCACCATATGAGGACATGCCTCCCTCAAGAATTATATACTCTGCAAATTTCTGCTTTTTATCTTGGGGAGTTTGTGAATTTGAGTTAAAATTTGTCAAGTGTTAAAAGAAGCTTGACAAAACAGGCTAAAAATGTCAATGCTGGCTGCTCGGATTTTGCTGAATATTGCATAATTTATTTTGAGTTATAGGAAAAACGCATGTATCTAACTAAAAACTCTTTTCCTTTCAGAGAAAAATGGAGTCTCCTACCTTCCTACGACCACACATGATTAGAGAGAGCTCTCTTTCAATTGTCTTTCTGGTAGGAATGATGGTTTCTTCTGTCTTTGTGGACATAGTTCCAGTGCCCAGAGCCCTTGACCATATCCACAGCAGATTTGGATATTATATGTTTGAACATTTATGGCAGGAAGACAGGAGCCATGTAATTTTCTTTTTCTTTTTTTTTGGGGGGGGGGGGAGATCCAAAAAGACTGCCAGCTTTCAAGCTCTTTTGATGAACTCCTTTATCACATTTAGTTCTAAATATAGCTTGTCTCATTACACAACATTTTCCTACATACCATTTGTCCATAGTGGTTTATGAGGAGATTGGAGAATCTCAGAACTGGAAGGAATCTTGTGATCAAATGTCTTGTACAGTGCCTTTGACTTGAGCATCTAGCCTTCACTTGAACACCCCCAGAGAAAAGTTCCTCTCTATGGCATAAAAGGGCATTACTCCTTCATCTTTTTTCTCATGAGAATGTTTATTATACAAGAACTTTGAATATTGCGGGTACCTTGACTGTGACTCTACAGAGAGAGTGGGGCTGTCTGTCACATGACACCAAGTTTCTACAATGGCCTGATCATTTTATACATTTCCTGACCTGAGAAAAAGCTCCTGTTCTTATGGAAACTCTATCTGGGAGCTTGGAATGTTGGTCAGTTCATGGAGGTGGTCTTATTCTTTCTGTCTTTTGTAGGAAAGTAAGATGAATAATTATCAAACATTTTTTAATTTTTATTCTTCTTCTTATTTTTTTTTACAATATAATGGTTTATTTTCACATCATTTTGTGCCTTTTTCCATCTCAGTTGTAATCTCCATGGGCTTCCCATCACCATATCACCCATGTGCCATCATCATAGTCCAGTGCACTATCCCGCCCCATTTTTTATCCCACTCCTCACTCCACCCCTATAAAATGTCTCTGGCATATAATTATTCATTATTATTATTATTATTTTCTACCCCAGTCCTTTATATACCTGCTATGAGTGAAACCATCCGGTATTTTTCTTTTCTTTATGGCTTATTTCACTAAGCATTATCGCTTCCAGCTTCATCCATGTTGCTACAAAAGACATGTGTTTTTCTTTTTTGATTGCTGAGCAATATTCCACTGTGTATATGTACCACATCTTTTAAATCCAGTCATCTACTTTGGGGCATTTGGTTTGATTCCATGTCTTTTCCTAATTTATCGGGCATTTTATCACTTTCAGTGAAACTACAGAGACCTGGAGCCCATAGCAATTGCTAATGTAAAAATGGTAGTTGGTTTTTGTCTCCGAAGTAGGCTCAACTCTAAATTCTGTCCTTCTAGAACTAGAAGCTTTATGTAGTACATCCACTCAGCTAAAATTATCTGAAAGGTTTTGCATAATCCTATCATGGAGTTTATTTATAGCAATCTATTTTTAAAAATTTATGTCATGTTACATAGTCTGTTTTCATGATGCCTTCTATGTAGTAGGAACTCAGTAAATACTTCTTGAATGAACCAGTACAGTATTTTAATTAGCTAGTCCTCATATATCAGTGCAAAAGAACAGTGTCATCTTACAGTTGAAGTCATAGAGGGGAAATATCCCACTCAGGATCGTATGACAGTCCAGGGGCCCAGGGTGAACATTCCAAGGATTTGTCGGAATTCTTCAAAGGTTTCAGCAACGTTAACATTCTTTGTTTAATACTTAATTTGTCATTGCCTTGTCTGTGAGATTAGTTAATCATAAACATTCTAACCACACTTCCCCTACCGAAACATTTAACAGGGAAGAGGAGAGAATTCAAAGGTTCTTGCATGAGGCACCACTTTTGTGATAAATGAGTTCTTGGCCATCTTGGGGATTCAACTATCTTATATCTAGTGTATTATTTTTTTATTCATAGGGCCAGTACAGCAGTTATATGGTCTGAATTTTTCTTGCTATCATCAGCTGAGTATTTTGTTAATGAATGTTCTTAAAATACAAATTCCGTCACTTCTTATCAGTGACCTGAACCAAGGAAGTATATGAAACCACTTCTTCTAAGGAGACCTGATATGTAGGTTTCTCCTCTCCATCTCTCTTCCTTTCAGTGTTAGCTGAGCCTAGCAGGAGGCCAGCGTTTGTCCCTTGGTGGGAGTGGGGGTGGAGTGTGAGAGAATGTTTAGGACCAGAAGGTTCTGAGCCTGTTGGAACTGGACAGTTGGAGCTGAGCAACTGAATAGCAGCTGGAGGCTGGGTTGGCCTGGAGCCCTGGCAAGCCGAGCAGCTCTGAGGCAAGCACCTCAGCCACAGCCAGACCTCTGAAGAAGCAAAACAGGGGCCAGAGGGTGGGAACGGCCAAGGAGAAAAACAGCTTCTGAGAAAAGAGCTTCTCTTCTGGAACATAAATTCAGGGAACAGGAGGCCACAGGACGAAATGGAAACCCACCAGAATGGAAAAGGAAGAGAAACCAAGGGAGAAATGAGACATTTCCACCCTAGCTAAAGCTGTCTTTACTTTCTTTTTTCCTTTTGGAGTATCGGTCTGGCTACCCCAAGGTGGAGGTGACACCCTAACTGAGTAAAAGCTCTGTTTTTTCCCCTGGGCAACAAGATAGTAGTATAAATAGAAAATTCAGGGAATGTATTGAGGAGACACTATCTCTAAAAGGTGACAATTCTGGGGAAATATGAGGAGTGGAATGATAAGTAAAATATTTGGAGTCCTGTCAACTGCTAAAACACAGCCCTGCAACATACCTTAAAAGGTCTAGAAGCCTGTACTCTTCATGTTATTCACAAAACAGCTACAAATATATGATGTGTGCATACAACAGGAAGTTGCCAAACCAGATGTAACCCCAAGGCTTAGTACTGGGGCTGGCTTCCATCTTTCCTTTAAGGTACTGTATTTGTTCTTGATTCCTGAGAGGCCAGAAGGGTTGAAGAGGAATAAGGCAAGCTATTTTAATCCAGTTTAGACCTTTGCAACGGAAACTGGGATCCAGTTTCTAAGATTTGTAAAATCACCCAGCCTCATAGACTGGAAACCAGTCTATAGGGTGATGTGTTTATGGGTCCAACAATGAAATTTCTAAGACTTGTTTCTTGCCACAAGGAATCAATAGTTATCGGTGTGACATTGTATACACTGTTTTAATGGATGTCAGTGTTTTACTCCAATTTCTTACTAATAACCTGCCACAGTATATTGATACTCAAATTCTTAGGGCCTTTATTAGCTGATCCACCATTCACAGAGTACATGCTTCCTGAGACCTAAGACTCCAATTCCTGCCCCATAGTGGCCACTCAACACACCTACACACTGACTAGATAAATTTCTGTAACTCCTACTCTGAGTCATACTATACAGGCATTAGAGTCCAATGACATTTGAAAAAGTAACAAGTACAAAATTGACTCAGACATATGCTTACAAGAAAATCAAGTTCATATCACAAAAAAATTACTTAAGAAATGGTCATCTAGAATACATTTCTACAAAATAGATCCTGGGTTTTAGAGAAAAAAATATAAATCTGACAGCAACCTATGTAGTCATGCTATAAAAAAGAAACAGATGGATAAAACTTCGGTAAGATGGACAGGCCTAAATATATTCCATGAGAGAAGGGAGCATGGAGAGTAGAGCCGAGCACCATGAGTGAAGGGAGGATGGAGAGGACGGAGCACCCCTTCCCTGCTGCAGCAGCTGGCTACCAGGACCAAGGGCCAATTGCAATGGTGACATCTAGGAACTCAGATGTCCAGTGAGCGTAAATTCTAATCCTCTGGTTTCCTTTGCCTTCCCCGACTGGCCAACCCTCAGAGCCAACCCTCTAAACCCCTAAGTGCTTTCTGGCTCTGCCTTGCAGCTGACACTTTGCTACTCTGTGTTGGCATTTATCTGTTTCTGCACAGCTTACCTCTCTTGCTAGACCCATTTCTGGACAGGGTTTGGATACAGTCTCCTTCACTTAGTACCAGGGTCACTCTAAGTTATTTAGCTGCTCTGAGCCTCAGTTTTATAAAAACAGGGTTGTAACTACCTGGTTTCTGAGTTCATGTGGGAATTATATGAGGCATGTGTGGCATGTATGTGTGTACATGAAGCACAGAGGAAGGCATGTGCTATATCTCCAGGGTGCCTCCCTGTGTCCCACATAAACACAGCTACTAGTTATTGATGCTCATTGTGAACCAGGCAGTTTACATGTACTATCTTGTGCCTCATAAAAACTTGGCAACAGGACTTATTTCTATTTCACTGAAGCCCAGAGACATTATATATCTTGCCAAAATCACAATAAGTGACAGAGGCATAATCCCAAGTCCCTCTCCACACACAATTTGCACTCTTTCCAGTAAACCCTGCTATCTGTATACAGTAGGGTCATATTTGATGTTTGATGAAAATTCTAAAGACTCAGCTACCAGAACTATGTTCTATAGGAAACTTAAGGAACAAAAGAATAAAGCCAACTTTTCAATGAATCAGAAAATAAAGTCTTTTATATATTCATGAAGGTCTGAATCTTTTGCTTAGCCTTTGATGATGGGGGTTTAAAATGCTACATTAAGATCAGTAGGGCCAAATGAACACATTGATGGAACCATCGTCCT